ATACACCTCTGTTCGAATGCCCAAGTCATAGTAAGCCAGAGGGAGCCTGTGCGCTGCCCTTGCTTAAGTCCTTGGCTTTGTAGGGGTCTAAGCAATGTTAATGCCTAGATCACTACAATCATCAGGTCGAATCCCAGGTTGGAGGTAAAAAGCAAGAGTCACCAGAATGCGGGGTTTATTGTATACAGAACTCCCAGCTGCAGTCTCATCTGGGAGTGGCCACTGGCGGTGCCAGGGCTAGTGCTGACTGCGTCCAGCCAGGCCTGAGAGTGTGGACTATCTATTGTGTGGGGTGATGACAGTTGCTTTTACATGACTGTGAAGCGAGTTCGAGTGGTCTGCTATTGGGTTGCTGCAAGTTGCCCGAGCGGATGTTGCCTGCAAAGGCTCCCTGCTGTGTTGGCCAAAGGGTGGTGTATGAAGTGGTCCTTAGGGAGCCGCGACTGCTCGGGCACGGGTGTGCGGGCGTGTGTGCGCGAGTGTAAGTGAGTGAAGTGGTGGTCTTCAGGTCACCAAGTGGAACAGGTGTTTACGAAGGCACATGACGTTGGGGCAGCGGGCTTCGGAGAACGAGGGGGACAGGAGGAATAATGGCTCTCCGCCACAGTTTCCATCTTTCATTTAATGTTCCTCTACTTTACTTTATCGCCGAATTACTAGGCTCTAGCCCGTACCAGAACCAATATTTCTCCAGATTTTAGGCAAATAGTTTAGCAAGCCTTATTCAGTAGGCGGCTTTGGTTGATTTGAATAATTCAATTTAGCCACTTTTAAAAGACTCGGCGGCCTCGGTGGAACAGTGTTTATTCAACTGCTGCACCCAATGCGGCGGCAGCCGAAGTTTTAAGCTCTCTTTAGCAAAGAAATTACCGTGGTTGGAGCCATGCAGCCTGTTGAGTTGAGTTTCCGAATCTAACGCTTATCTGTGCCGCCGCCAAATATGCTTCTGACTGTCAGTTTCTGGATATTCCATTCTAAATATAGCATTCCTCTCTCTCTCTCTCTCAAATCAACTTGACCTGGAACTGAAGTTAACCTATCGTGT